ACTTTACTAATGACTATACAAATGTGTTCATTCAAGGCATGGAAAAAAAACATATCTAGTTTCTTTAGTTTTTTTCAAAAATGAATCTTACAAACTAGTTCACTCTATTGCCACAATATATAATATTTTATCATGACTAAGCAAAATCAAACTATAGAATACCATAATTGACATCTTGAGTAAATATAACTTTTAAAAAACAAGTATCAAATTGATGTTTGATTGAACTTGATTTAGCTCTATTTTAGATTGAACTAGTAAATGACATCATACTAATCCAATCTTTTCAAATAGTACCATTATTTCTATACATAAAGTTTAAGTATTACAAACACTTTGCAAGCAAACTTCTAAACAACTAGGAAAGAAGAAACCTACTAAGTATTTTTAGAACACAAAAATCTCATATTAGAGATATGAATAAAGCAAAACAAATTAAAGAACTGCCCCAAAAAAACGAACTTTCTTCCATCCATCAATTAATCAAACTATGTCTCATCCCCAAATAAGTTAGAGTTGCTTATAAAAATCTAGGTCTATTGTGTTCGTTATTATTTATCTGTTCTTTTATATTTAAATTAATATACTATTTCTATGTTGGCCAAACAACCTACGGGACTCTCTTCCTTTATCAGGTTAAAAAAAATTAACAGTCTTCAAAAAAAAATCCGAACAACTAAGAAAAAGAAAGAAAATGCTTAACCCAAATTCGAAAAATTAAGAAAAAGAAAGAAATCTGTTAACCCAAATCCAAACAACTAAGGAAAAAAAAAAGAAATTTGTCAACTAAACTGGTACCTTGACTTTGTAGAAAATAAGCTTTGTGAAATTTCAGCAGCAAAAACCTCGGTGATAAAACTTTTTTCTTCTCCAAGTATCTATTATAGCACAACCAAATGTAAATATTAGGTTTTTGTGAAGAATTCTAACTAAGGAAGGAAACTGTATTTTGTAGAATTGGGAGGAGGGGAGCAAAATTCTTACCGCCAAAATCTTTTCCTTCTAAATCTCCAATACTCTCCATACATAGCTCCTTGTAGAAATTCTGGCCAAACCCAATTTGAGATTTTGTGCCAAACCCGATTCGAGATTTAGATTGAGAAAGGAGCGGATAGGTACTGAGGACTTCTAAGGCTTGGAGTACGGCTAATTTCACTTATGTTTTAAATTGTGATCAATGGTGGGTTCCTTGGTTCTATCAATATTTTTGTTTTATTTTAAATATTTCATCTTTAAATAAATCCAACATCTAGTAAGTAGTAGTAATAATAATATATACTCCCTCTGTTTCAATTTATGTTAACCCATTTAATTGGGCACGAAGTTTAAGAAAAGAGAGAAGACTTTTGAACTTGTGGTGTAAAATGAGGCACATATATTTTGTGTGGCTATAAATCGTTGCATAAAGGTAAATTATTTCCAAATAAGGAAAGAGGTCATTCTTTTTTGCACGGACTAAAAAGGAAATAGGTTCACATAAATTGAAACGGAGGGAGTATATTTTTACTAAAAATTGATATTTTAATAAAAAGTTTTAAATAGGCACAATATTTTAACGTGATACGACATGGAAATTTTATTTAATATCGGGTGAGGTGTAAGCTTCGTGAACCTTTATATTTTTAGTTTAAGAAATCGAAAAGAAAATAAAAAGATAGAAAGTACATTAAAAGTTTAAAAAAATCAAAGGAATAAGCGAACTCATAAAAAACCAAAATATCTAACAGTTTTACAAGTATAAATAATGCACTAGTGTTAAAATTATTATCAAAAAACACATTTTATTACTTCCCTAAAAGGCTAAATGTTATATATTATTATCAAACTACAAATTTAGTTACTTCCTAAAAGTAAATAATCAATAAACTTTATTAATATTATAATTCAAAATATTACTCCTTCATAAATAAATATAAAATTACTTTTAAATAGTAAAATAATAAAAGTCTCATAATAATTTTGGGAGATAAAAAAACTAAGAAAAAAATCAATTATAGCGAGTGAAGATATAAAGTTCGGCTATATATATATATATATATATTTAGAAAAAATGTTCAAATGATATTCACCCTCACGATGTTCTCACTTAGTAAATATGCAATACTATGACTTGTTATTTGAGTTAAGATCATTCAATTGTTAATGTATTTTGAGGGTCAACGCTATTAATTAGAAATTTTAACATATGATTTACCTGGTAATTGTTGAGTGAGCCTCGAACGCTGAGCGATCGGCGTGTTTAGGGCGCATAACCATATTTTTGGGATATAAGCCTCACAAATTAAGCCCTACACTTGAGCCGTTGCAAATGCTTAGTCCAGGAGCTAGTCCTAGACGAATTAACCTTTTAAAATTTTAATCAACAATAAGAGAAATCATTTATACAACAACAACAACAACAACAACAACAACAACAACAACAACAACAACAACAATACAACCCAGTATGATCCCACAAGTAGGGTCTGGGGAGGGTAGAGTGTACGCAGACCTTACCCCTACCCCGGAGGAAGAGAGAAATCGTTTATGTTATAGGTAATTATCACTAATTAAATATTAAATATAAAGGATGATTTTTTTTAGACAAAGAATGATTTAAAATTCGAAAAATTAGAGAAATTTTCAATAGTAGATGTAAATGTTCGTAACTACCGACAAATAATATGACATTTAAAGTATGGTCATATTTTTTGTCAGTTGTATCAAAATGTTTTTACAACATTTGATATAAGTGTCATATTTTTACTAAATTTTGCATCAAATGTCGTTTTTATGACATTTTGTACCAAATGTCATCTTTTTTACGACATTTTGTATCAAATGACTAGTTTTTACGATATTTTGTAGCAAGTGTCATACTTTTTACGACATTTTTTCAAAAATGTCATTGTTCCGACGACATTTCGTATCAAATGTCATTTTTTTACGACATTTAGTATCAAATGTCATTGTTTCTATGATAATTTATATCAAATGTCGTAGTTTTTACGACATTTTGTCATAAATATCAAAAACATCTTTTTTTCTGACATTTATTTCAACAGTCACTAAATAAATGTCGTCGTATCCTCAATTTCTTATAGTGAATCCTCTGCCTTTGCTCAATTCTGTTCTTCACTGAACTTATCATTCAGATAATCACACAGTTGATCTTGCTTATAGACATAGAGGAGTTACAGATTCAGATTGGGTAGCTTGGGGTTTTAATATTACTGGAGGAAGAATGGTTGGTACACAGTGTTTGGTTGCATTTAAAAATTCCAGTGGCCAAATTCAAGCTTACACTGCTCCTATTGCTGATTATCTTGCTCAGTTTAGACAAGGTTCTTTGAGTTTTAATGTGCCAAGAATTGAAGCAGAGTTTTTAAATAATGAATACATTATTTTTGCAACTTTGGAACTTCCTAGTGGAAGGACTAGTTTTAATCAGGTTTGGCAAAATGGCCAAGTTTCTGGTCAGGCTTTGCAAGCTCATAGCCAGTCTGGTGATAATATGAGGTCTTTTGGAAGTGTTGATTTTGCAACTGGCCAGTTAGGGAATGATGGTGGTAGCAGGGGCGGCTCAAGAAAATTGGGGCCTAAAGCCGAAGTTTAGCAAGAGGCCTTTTTGTAACCAATATTAAGAGGTAAAAATTGCATGGGGCACCCTATTTGGTCGCCTTCTTTTAACTTATACCCGTTTTGTGTTTCTGTTTGCGTCCGTACCCTTTTTTTGTTAAAAGTATTTTAAAAAGATAATTTTGCCCTTCATGATTATTGACAAAACTGTAGACTGCAGGACAACACTTCAGCATGTTTTGGCATGAAGTTTTAGCAAATGAACTAAATAACTTAAGCATGTTTAGTCTGAAATTTTAGCAAATGAACTAAATAACTTAAGCATGTTTAGTCTGAAACTCACTAGAAAATTATATATTGCAAGATAAAAACTTAAGCATGTTTAGTCTGAAATTTTCGCAAATGAACTAAATAACTTCAGCATATTTAGTCTGAAATTTTAGCAAATGAACTAAATAACTTAAGCATGTTTAGTCTGAAATTTTCGCAAATGAACTAAATAACTTCAGCATATTTAGTCTGAAATTTTAGCAAATGAACTAAATAACTTCAGCATGCATTACCAAAAACTCACTAGAAAATTACATATTGCAAGACAAAAACTTAAGCATGTTTAGTCTGAAGTTTTCGCAAATGAACTAAATAACTTCATCATGTTTAAACTGACATTTTAGCAAATAAACTAAATAACTTTATCATGTTTAGTCTGAAATTTTAGCAAATAAACTAAATAACTTCAGCATGTTTAGACTGAAGTTTTGGATAAAACTCAAGACAAAACTGTTGACTGTAGGATAAATAACTTCAGCATGTATTAGCATGATGTTTTAGCTTCAATGTAAAATAACTTCAGCTGCTACTGTAATTGACTGAAGTTTTACACCATCTCGCATGCTAATGAATAACCCCTGGTACTATAAAACAACGTCATCTCCAAACGTTAGCATGCTCCTACGTTTATCAGGGCTTGGTTTACAGTATGCTAATGCGAATGAGGTCATCTCCAAAGTAGCATGCTAATGCTAATACTATCAGGGGTGTAATTATCATATTATTACGGATTTTTTGTCAACTGGCTACCAAATCAATAATTTTTAAAAATATGGTACAGGTTAAAAGGTGGCATAAATATAGGGTACGACTGCAAATCCCCCTATTAAGGGGCTTTAAGCTTTAAAAAATATCATATTAAATAACATGATTCATCTTTATAGTTGACATATTTAAATTCTGATAAAATAATGAAAAGAAATATACTAGTATAGAAATACCAAAAATAAATTTCAAATTTAAAGAAAAAGACGGTAGCAAGTTAGAATAATCGACCTGATTGTAAACGTTGATAACTTGATATCAGAATGAAAATTCTATATTTTTAATTTGTTTGCTGCAATGCTTGAGAACCAGAGAAAGAACGAAAAATGCAATTTTAATTTATTCAATGCCTTTCGTTTGTGTTTTTTAGAAAATAAATAATTTAATGATGAAGAAGGAGAATTTAAAATACAAGTTTTATTATGAGAAAGAAAAAAATATTAATATTAAAATACTTTTTTACCATGAACATTAAACATTTTCTAAAAAGAAAGTCTACCATAGATAAACATATTTTTGCTATTAATTAAAAAAATGGGGCCTTAGAAATTTAGGGGCCTAAAGCCCTTGCTTTAGTATCTTGGCCTTGAGCGGCACTAGGTGTTAGCTCAATCAATTCTAGACTAAATATTTTGACGTACCATGCAATTGGACACATGAAGAATACACATAAGTCTGAAATAGCCTAAATATAGGACTCTTAAAAAGCTGTTGCTGTTGTTTTTCTCACTATGTTCATGATCCCAAACAAGTCAATAGTCATCACATATATTTCTACCTAGAGTTTAAGAAAGGGCATTTACGTTCCAACCATCAATTATCAATTCTTCTCATCTTGTTCTATCCCTGGTTGTTCGTTTCGATTTTATGCTTTGGGCCACTATTACCAGCTCTGAATCACGGTGGAGAGAAAAAAATGCTCTCTATAAATGAAGATGTATATTAAGAACATTTATTAGTTTACTTTTATAAGGTAAGATTAGACTAGTATTCTAGTAATGTATGGCAACCAACAAGGTATATGCTTGGTAAATTTTCTATTAAAAACAACACAACGTGATTTAATTATAGTCCAGTAAGTTAAAAGGATTAAAACATTCAATTTAATGTATGAAAGCCAACAAAGTATATGCATTTAGGAAGTTTAGTGTCTTTTCCGGTTTGTGGCCGGATCACACTCAACTTTTGATATGTTATTTACCTCAATGATAGTTTTTTGGCTTAGTGAATTCCATATTAAACATAACAAGTATAAGTTTCAACAAAATTTCAATTACAGTCCAGTAAGTTAAATTGATAAAGACACCGGTGCATATATACAGGATTTTCTTATTTGATGTTTATGTTGTACCACTTTACAAATAGACTTTTAAAAGAAGGAAGTCCAGGAACATGATTGCATTTTACTAAATAGAGTCTAAAGTGTCATTAACATCTCAACTATCATACAAAAGTAGTTTATTCAAAAGATACGAAATTGTGAAACATGACACCTCGCTGCATTTAGGGCCAACTCATGTTATTATCCTACCAAATAAGACAACATCAACATACTGAGTGTGCACTCGCTAGTTTCCTATTTGTTGTCTTTGTTTGAATTTTGTCGAAATCCCAACGGATACTTCTAATTCAATTTCTTACGGTGAACACCATGTTCATAAGTCATAACCAATGTGCATTCAACTGTTTTATGGTTATTCTTTTCCTCTTATTTCTTTTTGGCGTGGAGTGTGAAGGAACATGACTCGCAATCTATTATTTCAACTTATTTGGCGGATTATCAACACATGCAGCGTATGAGCCAATCAAGGCGGATTCAAAATTTAAATTTAATGAGTGCAATTTTTAAGAGTCTCAGCATTGAATTCATTATACTATTAAAATTATGGATTCAATTCTAAAATTTATTGAGATTTAATAGATATTTACATATAAATTTTTACTCTATTTGTGGCAGATATTTACATATAAGTTTTTACTCTAATTGTGGCAGATCCAGGATTTTCAAATCATGGGTGCTCAGTTATTTTTAATCTAAAAATTGCTACTAAGACTGGGTGCTCAGTTAATTTATTTATATGAATTACTATTTTTTTAAATATAAGTAATAGTGTTTGGCCGCAAAAGTAATAGGTGTTCAATCACCTATAATCCATAGAGTAGATCCGCATTAATTTCGTGTAAAAAATTACGGGTTTAGTTGAACCCGTAGCCAAAGCTATTGCATTCAGATGAATCCATCTGTAAGTTGTACGCTAGATCCGCCCCGGCCTGTTCCAGTAGGATTGGTAAGCTGTGTAACCAAAACCTTAGAAATTTGTTTAGCTCTGTCTGCAAGTTGTAGCTCCAGTATAGGTGGGCATTTAAATGATGTAAGTTCAATATTGCATGAGATGAAGGTTAGTAATTTGAATTGGTTGAGAAAGTGTAATTTGAAGGCTATGAGATAAAGAGAATTAAGGATGTCATAAGCTGATGCTCAGAACTTGAGATTGTAGCCATCAAAGAACTAAGTTCACTTTTCTTACCTCAAAAAGGTGAAATACAAGAAATGGTCCATAAAATGGAAGTAGTTGAGCTGGTTGTAGCTGTCAAATTCTAATGGATATTGATATTTAGCTTAAAGTGTATATATATATATTTATGTATATCGCCTCATGTTTTACTCGTGTTTCGTGAATTTCGGATGTAAAATGTATTGATTTAAATTAATTCATGGTGTTTTTATGTGTATGAATCATCCGGAAGCAAGTGGGGGCTAAAGGTGCGAGATAGAGCCAAAACGGAGGAAAATAGGAAATGTTGAATTCCAGCTCCACACTCCACATGTGGTGCCGTGGACAGAATGTTCAATTTGCTAGCGCCAGGGCCAGCTCCCCACGCTTCCCTGGACGCTGGTGACGGAATACTTCTCCAACTTTGTCCGGGACAAGGTTATTTCGGCCCAAGACCTACCCAATACGTATAAAAGCAAGATTAAGCCTATTTTGACGAGGGAGACGTCACTTTGAAGGAAAATACACACGAGAAACATTCGGGAGCGAGGATATCTCAGTTTTCTTCATTTTTTCTTAGTATTTTCAATTATCCAACACTTACAAAATTGTTTGATACTATCATGAGTGGCTAAAACCCATAGTTCTGGGATTGTGATTTAGCCATGAATATTGTTGTTCAATATTGACTTAGCCTTAATTATAATTCACCAATATATTATTGTTTTTTTAATTCTGGGATTAATTGCTTAATTGTCTGGCCAGCAGTTAGGTTTTATTTACTATCTATGATATGCTTGGGAAAGCTATGTGTAGCTTAGAGAAGAATTGAAGAGAGCACAATCTTAACTCTGAGGGGGCGGATTTGTAGTTAGGATATGAATATACCTAGTCACCGTGCTTAATTAAATTTCGTAATCTTAATGCGTTCTTAATATATTGATTTCATAGGAAAATAGGCGTTGATCTACTTTGAATAGGCGAGTAGTAATTTGGGAGAAAGCTACGAGAGCAAGTGTTCAATTAATTAGCAACCATGAGTGAATTGTATGAAATGGAGAGTTAACTAGAGCATAATAGGATTGATGAATCGATTACAACCCTGGAATATTTGTCTCTACTGAAAACACAACAACCATTTTGCTGCTTGATAATGTAGTTACTAGTTAGAATTATTGTTTAGTATAATCACACTTTTGAACTCGAATTGGCTCGACTAGATAATAGTCTTGTGAATTTAGTGGGTAGTTAATACAAGTCTCTGTGGGTTCTACACTCGACTTATTATTTTATTACTTGTACGACCACGTATACTTGCGTGTGCGTTTGGGAGCAACAAGTTTTTGGCGTTGTTGTCGGAATATTGACTACTTTCTAGTTTTAGCTATAATTGTTTATTTCGTCAAGTCTAACGTTACGTAATTGTTGCTATGATCTTAGGAACCTT